TTGCTCTTTTTCAGTGCTATGTTGTGTTGACTTTACATAAAAACTAAGTCAATCTACGGTTGAACTTATCGAAAAATTCTCTATGATAATATTCTAAAGTTTCATTTTTTAAATTTGTTTCGTATAGAGATTTATACAAGTACAAGCATTCCTATTCTCAGTGATCTGATATTCGAAGAACTAAACAATGTCCTTATAGAACTTTTCTTTCTTTCTTTATCTTATCGATTAATTTATTAAAGAAAATTATGAAGATGTTTGTTGATCTTTTAATATATAAAACGTTTTAAGTTTGTTCAACACTTTGAAACAATTGCTTTTATAATTATATAAAAATTACTGAAGAAAAGACATTAAATCCCAGAACAATTCACCACCACATTGTAGTACTATTTCTCATTCAATTAAAACATTTTTTTTTCATTCAACAATACTGATTACTAGGTAGAATCTTTCAAAAGTTATTAAACGATTAATTGATGTTCCTGTTCGTTAGTGATAATACAAGACAGAGCAAAATATTTCTCAGATAGCAGGACTATACTTATAATTAGCATCAATAATAAATTTTTTTTGTTATACGTCATTTGCTAACACACAGTTATATTTCTTCGATACCGAGACATACAATAATGAAAACAGTAGGTGTTCAAATTTTTTCTGTTAACCTCGGCGACAAACGTGACAGAGAAAAAAACTCATATACTTCTTTTTTATTGTTGCAATCCTTAATCAATAATCAAACAATATTCTTTTCCTTCTATAATTCATTTTTGTTAAGCCATAATATAGAAAATTATCATAGATCGATTTGCAAATTGAATATTTTCCTTTAGAAAAATTATTTTTTGTTAAATCGTATATTAAATTGACATAAAATTTTTACATTCTAGTTGTTGGTTTTCTTATGATAATGCATTTATATGGGCATTTGCTATTCCATTTGTTCTTCTTATTCTTGTAAGTTTTCTTTTGTAAATATTTTTTGAAATAAATCATTATTTGTTATTTCTTATTATAAAGGCTAATATTTGTTTTTTTATTATATCAATATATACAATTTGTAAACATCTTAAAACTTCTAAGTTTTCGAAAGAAATTAAGTAAATAAAAATTTTGAATAATTTAATGAATATATTTCTATTGTTTTATTTTATCAAAGATTTTCTTTACGTGATATAACAGCATTATCAATATTATTTGGTTTAATATGGTTAATTGGTTTATTTCATCTTTATGAACAAAATTCAATTATTGTTTCATATGCATATACAATTTTAAATTCATTTCAAGGTTTATTTATATTTATATTTATTTGTTTATTAAAAAAAAAAATTCAACATTTTTATATTTATCGAATTTTCAATATTTATAAAAAATCAAATATTGAAGAGAAATCAAATCAACATTATAATACAAGTAGTAGTGGTTATAGTTCAGCGCATTCATCTGATTTAAATAAACAAATTTTATCATTAGATCATCAATCATCATTTTGTACAAATGCAGAATATTTATCAAGCATGCCTATTGGATTATTAAGTACATTTCGTTATCCAACATCAAATATAACATTACCAATAAAACTTGAACAAAATGAACAATTATTGAAAAATTATAAAATCGATTCATATCATCAACATGATGATCATCAGTATTATGAAATTGGTTAATGTTTTTCTTTTTTTCTGTCTTGCATTCTTGTCCGGTTTTCTGTTTATATATAAATATAAGGAAAAAAAAAAAGATGAAAATTTTTTGTTTTGAGTTTTTATTTCAAATAATTGAATACATACAAAGAATACATCACGAGTGCATATGTTTTTCTTATAGTTCGGTCAATTTCTTCTTCGTTTTTTTTTCTAGAGATTCAAACGATTTATTAGGTCAAATTGTGTACGTTTACGAGTAAATGCAGTATCTGCTAAATTAAAATTACTTTTTCGATTAAGTTCAAGATTGGGTGATAGTAACCGATCATTATGCTGTTTATCACAGTGATATATACATTTAACATATGCACATATTCGGTCTCGAAATCCATTTAATGAAAGTGCATATATCAATGGATTGATACAGGCAGCTACTTTAGTAAACATACCAAGTATTGATGTTGTATAAGCATTTACTAAATGATCAAAGCCCAATACAGAAAATATGGTCATTAAGGCATAAGGTCCCCATGCTGAACAAAATAGAGTACATATGAGTAATGCTGTACGTGTAGCACGAGCTTCTGTACGACGAATATTTCGCATTATATTATTATCATCACTTAAAGATGTGGATGTTGTTGTTCTACGACGTTCTTGATTTTCATTTGGTAAATTTAAGTGATTAAAATAATAGGTTATACCTTGTTGATTCGAACATTGATCATCCTTATTTTGTTGTGGAAATTGACGTCCACGTTGAGATAATTTAATTAGAATTGAACTATATGCAAATATAATAACTGAGAATGGAATAAGAAAACCACAAGTTACTAATATTAAAATAAATAAACGATCTGATAAATCTTTTGATACATAATCAAATGTACATGATGTTCCAAAACCTTCTAATATAAAACGATTCCAACCGAATAAAGGTGGCATAATCCAAACTGACCCATATACCCATGCACATGCAAGATAATCTATTCATAAAAAAACAAAAAAAAATTTCTTTTTTTATTTTAAATAAAACTAACTTAGAGTAGTATGACTACTGAGTCTCAATGAACTAAGTGGATCATTAACAGCTATTAAACGAGTTAAAGAAATAGCTGCCATTGTTGTAATTGATGTAAGACCAAATATACCACCACAAACAGAATAAAAATTACAACCTAAAATTAAAAAAAATATCAATTTAATATGTTCTTCATATAATATTAATTATTAAAATAAATTCTATTAGATTGTAGTATTTATACAATATCTCAAATGAAAAGATCAAGATGATTATAGATTAATATTTATCATTAGTATCTTCAAGTTTATATAAAAATTATCACTTTACATGTTGTTCTTTGCTTTTATTAGAATAGAATTTCTATAAGATATTGAATTAAAAAAAGTATCACATACCTATTTGTCCGAATATCCATCTCTTTTTAAATGATGAAATAACATGCATTGAATTATTCGTTAAAAGTAAACCAAAATCTGTGATGGCAAGATTGATAAGAAAATAATTTCTTGGTCTTTGTAAAACGTTATTTCTATATATATATATATATGCATATGTAAATAAATCAAGTTTAAAATAATTTTTTTAAAAATGTTACTTGATGAATACAAATATAACTAAACCATTTGATATTATACCAAATATTAAACATAAAAGTGAGAATATACCAGCTCCATAGTGCCATACACTCGGTATATATTCTGTATCATTAGCATACCAAAAACGATCAACGTGCATTTGTTAATTAAATTAATGTTACGATCTTAAAAATAAAAATCAATTTTCATAATTTAAATATTATCTTATAATGAGACAATAAAGTTTAAGAACTTAAACTTTCATATTATGTAAGAAACAAAAAGAAAAAATCATCGTTATTATTTAGTCTAATAGTTTTGACTTCAATATGTTTTTATGCTTATTTCATAGAATTTTATGTGAAAAGAAAAAAAGAGACCGGAAATTTGGGTCGACTTATATGCAATATTTTCAAATAATATCTCGGATGTTGTTATCAAGATATATATGACAATAAAGATTAGAAAAAAAACCTAATAACAAATAAAAAAAAAAAAAGGCCAACATTTGAAATGTACTCATTAACATATCATGAGACGTATAGAATTATTTTATGATGATCAATTGTTTCAATCAGCAATCATAACAAAAAATGCTAAGTATATTTTAACAAAATAGAATTAAAAAAACAATATGATAAAATTTGAAATGAACCAACTAATTCTCACATAACTATTTCAATCTAATGATCTGCACAAAAGTATTTTATCTAAGTAAGGCCTTCTATTAATTTTCTATATTTAGTCATGCTTTCTTCCTTTTTTTCTTTAAAAATGAACAATATATAAAGAAAATGACAGCTAGAAAATACATTATTCTATGAATAGTTTTTGCATATGCATTTATATGCCTGATTTAATTACAAACTTGTTACACGCAATCTAGTTCTATTTTATAAGTTCAAAATTGTTCCGTTTTTCTTCACATAAAACATGCTCTTGTAATTATCAAAGAAGAAAGTAATTTGGTTATTGCCACGAAAGAAATAATGAAAGGTTCTTCAAGAACATAATAAAGCTTATATTTTTTTCTTGAACTCTTTACGTATTAATTTAAAACAAAAAAAGAATGAGACTACCAATGAAATGGCACAATAAACAAAATTGAATATATTCTTATTAGAAATGCAAACACGTCCTAATCGAAAAAGCTTGTTCTTTTTCGGAAAGCCTATCCCATGAAACACGACAATCATTCTTTAATAAAAATGTTTTTTCATGACAATAACTATATCAACTCTAAGGCATAAGTAAAAACATATACGATGAACTCTTATCTCATTAACACAATTCATATGAATAAACATGTTGTATTACAATAAAATGTATTCTATGTACATTCATATCTAGTTACACATGTTAATTAATACATCTTGGTTAAATACTTCGTAAATAAAATATCAAAATAGTCTTTCACATGTAATACAAACCAGAGAAAAATAAACAAACTGTTGATTTAGGATTATGAAAATCTATGCCATAGATTGTCACTTTATTGACGTGTCATCAGGAACAAATAAATTATATGAACATGCCACACCTCAAAAATATAAAAGATACTAATGTGTTGATAAATATACAATGGTCTTTTCAGTATAAATCTGTATAGTCAACAAAGTATATTAAACTAAATTACACTTGATGCACCTTAAAAAAAGTAATATACAAAAAAAAATTTAGATTGTTTGTGTAAGTATGATCTTCATTATTTTATCTCTTGTTTTAAATTATGTAGACAACACTATTTTTAGATTAATTAGAACGATTAATTTTCTTATATGTTATGTGATCTTTTTTTAAATAGTGCAATTATGTGTCTACGCAATTTGTTCTATGAAGAAAATCAAAAGTGAAGCAATTACAAAAGTAATTTTGGTTACTATGAATTACTTCAAAATTATTACTAATTGTGTCACTTTTCTTTTTTCTTTTTCTTTTTTTGTTTTGTATTCTGTTTTATTCTCTTTTATTATTAATAAAATAAATAAATAAAATAGAATCATATTTGATTAGATGAATCAATTCCGTCAAGATTATATGTATTCATTACTGTTTTCATATCATCATAAAGTAAATGATTATTAATTAATGAAGGAAAATCAAGTAAATCATCAAGTTTACTTGGAGATTTTAATATTATTAAAGCTAAATTTTTCATTGGATGATCATAATTTGATAATAATGATGATTGTGGTAAACTTGTTGATAGAATAACTAATTCTTGTTGTGAAGATGATGTTCGTTGATGTTTAAATTTATTTGTAAATATTGACCAATTTGATTGTGTATGATGTATTGATTGTTCAAAATCATTTTGTATTGATGAACATACATTTGATGTTTTACGTGATTTTTTTGTTGATTTAATTGTTTTTTTATTTGTTAATGATATATCTTCTAATGATTTTCTATAGAATAAATCATTTGAACTAATATATCCATTAAGATTTATTTGAAAACATTGTTGTAAAGCATGTTCTAATAAATCATGTTGTGTTAATTGTTTTCTATTTTGATGATAAATAATTGAACGTTTAAATGTAAGTATACATAAATGACGAAGTGAAAAAACATTTGTTGATATATTATCATATGATTCATTATTAGAAATAATATTATAATTATGTTTATAATTAAGTAATTTTAATAAATAAATAATTGTATTTATTTGATTTAAATAAGCAAGATCAAGTAATGTACGACTAAGATGATCTTGATGAAAACGAAAATCAACATATTCAATAAAACGATAGAATAAACGTATATGACGTTTTAAAATAATACTTGAAGATAACATTGCATGTAAACATGTTTGATTGTCATTATCTAAATGATAAGCATTAGCACCGGCATGAAGTAAAGTTAATGCAACATCGACATGACCTTCAATACAAGCATAAAATAATGGTGTTTGATTTCGATGATCACCTTGATTAAGTACTTTAAGAATTATTTCATCGTCGATTGATGAATTAAGTAGTTCATAAATAATTGGTAATGAGCCAAGAAAGGTAGCAATATGAAGGACGGTCATACCTTGATCATTCATAGCACATAAATATGCACCATGAGATAATAGAAGAGCACAGGTAGATGGATGATTACTAGCACAAGCACACATTAATGGTGTCCAATTTTGTCTAAAGAGAATAAGAATTTTTTTTTTTTGTTTCTTGAAAATTCTTCTAAAACAAAATACTTACGCATCTGGTATATGAATCATATATGGTTCAATATCGATAGCTGAAATAAAATGTTGAACTAATCGATTGTTTCCAGTTGATACAGCTAAATGGAATGAATTTCGACCAGTATTATCTTGTTTAAACATATCAGCACCATGCATCAAAAGTATTTGTACAATCTATTTATCTAGCAATGATGATACTATATTTCTGTTCTTTTTTTTTTTTATTTACTAAATTAATCTCACTTCTTCATATCCCATATAAGCAGCTATATGAAGTGGTGTTGATAAACTTAAATCACATACATTGACTTGTGCACCAGCTTGTAATAACATATGTATCGCACGCATATTAACTGTTTCAACAGCAATATGTAATGCTGTTGCTTTTGTTATTGGATCTGGTTGATCTGGTGGAAAGCCTATAATTATTATATTAAAAATCTATTAAATATAATATCAATGAATCATTATTATTAACAACCTGCAAGAAGACATTTATGTAATGTATCAATATCTTTATCTTGAACAGCATTTAAAAATGTATTTGTATCGAGTACTGGTAAGATAGTTGATGTATATTTTCGTTCATTATTTGATTGACTACGAAATAGATCACGTAAACGCTAAATATAATATATAGAAAAATACATAGTTGATAAGCAAACTTTTTTTCTTTTTTAAAAATCGACAACTTACCATATTTCAAGTATGCACACACACACGCACGCGCATACACGAGCTCGATCAGTATGAAAGAAGAAGAGAAAGAAAAAGTAAGGTAGCTATTAAGATTATGAGTCGTCGTCATCAAACATCAACTATTCAATTTTTTTCCCGTTGTGCTTTGAATTGATGCAAAGCACACCACACACATACACACTAGAGAATAGACTGACTCATACTATTCATAAACTTAATCCATCGATTGATGCCAATCGATTGTTAAAAATGATGACAAGTACTCTTCACTATTCGTGTATACAAACGGTCCACCTTAGTAAAACAAGAAGAAAGTGTGTGTGTGCGCGTATGTGTGGGTAGTAAGAGAGAAACGAATGATTTATTTTATATGCCGGTGTTGATAGCAGTAATGGTGAGAGAAAAAAAAAAAGAACACGATGAATAATGACAGACTACGGAATCAATATGATGGTAAACGGACAGAGAGAATGAGAAGAAAAGATTGTTCTTGTTGTACGATTTAGGGACAGAAGTGTCTGTTGTATTTAATGATAGCATGACACAAAGAAAAAAGAAGAAGCATGTGTTGTACATTTAACAGGTTCTCTACTATATATAATAGAAGAACAAATGAAAGAAAACAAAAAGAAGAAAAAAATGGCATGTTTAAATGAATGCAGAACTTATTATAACATGCACTTACCATTTTCAAACATCGAAGAAATACTTACATAGTATTATTTAATGAAATAGACTTTTGTTAATATGTTTTAATATGTAATTACTTTGTCCGACTTATCCAGTCATTAAAGTAGAATTACATATCCATTATGTTACTATCTAGTAATTTAATGTTATATAAGGAATAAAATTTTGTGTTTTGATTTGAAGACTTTTAGATATGTACATAGGTAAACTATGTAGAATGGAAAAAACTATTTTCTCGTTGTGTAAGATTGATAATTCAGAGAAGAAAAAGCAAAGAAAGAAAATCTTCTGTCAAAAAAATTCTCTTGATCTTAATTCAACAATAGTTGTCATAGCAAAAATAAACATTGCAGCAAACATAAGAGCAATAAACGATAAATTACATAAACAAAATGAAAAAGCAATATTCTTTTTTAAACGAGCTCTTCCTTCTTGTCGTTTTGATAAATTTTGTTTGACTTGAAATTTTCTTCTTGCTTCTAATTGTGCAACTGTATCTAATTGTAAGTCTTCACCAATGAAACGACCTAAAACAAGATCACGTATACCCATTGAATAAACTCGACCATCTTGCTCAACATGTACAACTTCATTATGTGGAATTGATTTTAAATCAAAACTTGTTTTAGCAGATTTACCGATTGTTCCATCATCTTGTTGACGAAGTATTGACATTTCACGCATATCAAACATATGTTTGCATATTACTTCACGTAAATGTATCCAACGTAAATCACGTTCAACTACTTTTATACGTGCATATGATTCACTCATCATAGCAATATCATGTAAATGATTACGAACAAAATGCCATTTAGAATTTCGTGATAAATAATGTGATGGACGACGACTTGAACGTTGAGAAAAATTTTGTGTTGAACGACGTCGATTAAGTGAACGTAATGTTGTTGAAGAAGAAAATGATGACTGCATTCGACGACTAAAACGATGATCTAATAGAGTACGTCGTAAATATTCAATACGTTTTTGTTTTGAAGATTTTATTTCAAGAAATGACGGATCAGAACCATCTATTTCATTTCCATATGCTGAATTTGTTAATATGATTTGTCCATTTGTTAAATTTTGATTAGGTTCATCAGGATATAAAGTAACACGAATTTCTAATGGCACGCGATCATTATGACTTACATTTAATGAACGTTTTCGACTTGAATTTGATGTTGTCGTTGTTGTTGTTGTTGTTGTTTCATAATTATCATCTATATCATCATCAGTTGTATCTATGGATGATTGTTGTACATGAAGAAAATCTGTAGAAGAACGTGTATAAGGCAAACGTTGTTTTCGATTAGTTTCAATAGATTGAATAATACTTTGTGGAAATGATTTGAAAGTTTTCGGTATAATATCTAATGATGGTGGTCGTAATAAACGATGATGTTCCATTTGAGATTTTGGTTCGTCATCATCCGACGGACTATCAATAATTATTTTTGCTGCCATTTTAATTAAAATTAAATTAAATCATCTAGAACGATGTATAATATTATATGACATTGAAACTAGGTTAATTGATTTTTAGTAAGTAGAGCTTGTTTCGTACGTATTAAAAAAGAAAGAGAGAAAAACAAGGGAATACAACCAGATGCAATATAACGTATGACAATTAGTCAATCTTCAATACCTTTTTTTTTCTTATATCAGGAGTCATGATTTTTGTTAAATATGTAAGAAAAGAAAAATGAAAGGTAATTGTATGTATACTGTCATATGATAAATTACTTATACATTGTATTGCTTTGCAACAATGACAAAAAGGAAAAAAAACAGAATAAAAGTTGTGTAATATTTTCTCTTAATCGATACTCGCTTATATCACAAAAAAAAGTCCTTGATAGATATTCTATAAAGGATTAGAGAGTTTTGTTTTCAAGGTATTTCAAGGGTCTATTCAATAATATTGATAATCTAGATAAGATTTATCAAAAATGGATCTAATATATTCTTGCTTTAAACTGATTTCTATTAACGTTATATATATATACATATGAATATTGATTTATCAGCTATTAATATCGTCTTCTTTTTCGAAACATAAAATAATAATAATAACGACAACAATGACGGATAAATAAGAGAAGAAACATACAAGTAAATTGAAAATTACGAAGAAATATTAAAATGATTATGATCGAAGAAATATCTGTAAGTTACATGTATATTGACAGATATTTCATTTGTAGATGAGTATCACTTACTTAATAATAACAAAGTATATAATATATTCAAACGTATGCATACAATATTTAGTATCTAAACATGTATATGATACATAGAAAAAAAAAAATACTCAAATATACTAAGAAAAACAAGGATAAAGAAAGACGAGTTTATGTTGCCTTGTAAAACTATAAATAAAAAAAAAACATTTCCTGAAACAAAAGACGACAAATCTGATCGACTTATCACGACAGTTAGTTATCTCTTTACCATATATATACTTGTAAAGCAAGTTTTTTGCATTTAGATAACAATAAATAGAAGAAAAACAATAACCGCACAATTCTCATATGTTGTCATTCTACAAAACAGATCAACAAAAAAATATTTTAATTTCTTCGAATATAAACGGTGATTTTATAAGTTAAGGTTATTCAACAAAATAAAAATAATTGAAAAAAAAACTGCATTTTCTAATGTTTTGATTAAAATCAGATTAATGTTTACACAAGCAAAAAAAAAAAAAGAACGAAAAAAGTGAAAAACAAATTCTAATATATCAGGCTTATTTAACATTCATTCGTTAAAATAATCATTTTATAGGTTTGTATATCAACTTAATATATAAAACAAAATGAAGAAAACAAAAAATTTGATCTTATAAGTAACGAAAAAAAGTGAAGCAAAACAAATGACACGAACACTAAGATCAACAAGAAAAATTTACTACTTTTTTTCTAACTGCGAAATAATAATTTCTCCGAAAAATATTTTAGTGCAGTTTGATGATATTACAATAATATAATAAGTATATTTGTCTATAAATCAATTTGATTTATGATTTTATTTTCTTGATACTTACAAAGCAAGTCATAACTTGATTGAGAAAAAAAAACATATTGCAGAGAACCAAAAGAAAAATGCAGTTAAATTTCATATGACATTAACATATGTCATTGTACCAGGATTTAAGATGAGATAAGATTCTAAATATTTGAAACGTATATATATATATATATTTCTTTTCTCATTGATTGATAAGTATATATACTTGTATTTAATTTCATTATATTGAAATAAATCATTTTCTGGCGCATTTTATTCAATATGAAAGCCAAGAATGCAGCATACTTCTGAAAAATCAGGTTAGCCCTCCTGAAGTTTATGGTTATTGTATTACATACTATGTGCCTGGTATTCGAAAAATAGATTTAAGGCCTCCCGGAGTTTTTAATTGTTCCTTTATAAGAGAAAATCCATATAAAACATTGATTTTTTTTTTATTAATTTGATTTTGTAACGATGCAACATTCTTGTTTTTTTTTCTAATCTTGAAATAAAAATTAAAAATGATGACATCTATCTCATAGTTCATGTTCGAAGCTAAAAACCCTTAAAAAAGAACTTTAGAAGACTTCAATAGATTTCAAGATTACATCTGCGTTTGAAAAAACTTAGAAATGAATCATTTAACTTAACTTAAAATTAAGTTTTTCTACTTCACACTAAATTCACTTGAAATCAAGTGATTACATGGTAAGCTTGATGTGCATACTATTAAGTGTTGATTGATTTTTGAAATTGTATAGTAGATTTTTCTGTGTGGAAAAGGCTATTTTATTAAAATACTCGACCGAGAAATGGAGTACACATTTTGATTTCTCGACTTCGAATACTTTTGATCAAATTTTAGAAGAAATTATGATTTTTTCCCAATATCTATTTTCCTAACGAAAGAATTAAATCCATGAATTTGTTCATTATCTATTACCTGATAAAGTAATGAAAACTTCCTTCCCTTATTCTGATGGTCAGAATCATTGAAATCAACTTTTTCCCATTTGGATGTATATCAGAAGCACTAAACGTTTTATACATTTTGTTTCTGGTTGATATGTCTGCCATTAGAAACATTGTTCAGAAGACCACACATCCAAAGTCTGTGGTAGGACCCCAGAAATTAGCATTTGTCGATTGAATTAATCAAAAAAGGAGTATTTCAAATTTGTTTTTAAATATTGGACCTATAGGTACTAGCTGAAACTTTTATGATATTCTACAGATCACTTGACGTATCTCCTATAGGCAAAATTTCATATTGAAATTCAGTGAAACTAACTAGATTCAATATGAATTCAAACGGCTTATGATTTCTTCGTAAATCGAAATCGGAACCAGACTCTATTTAATAGGACTAAGAACAGGACTACCGAGAAAAGAGTTACCATGATCAAGACTAAATTCTCGAAATATCACAACTTTACTAGATGTTTCAACAAAAAGCTGTAATCATTCTTCAGTCACATGGAAAATCAACTTTCGAGTTTCAAATTTAAACTTTGCATGAATAAACTTTTCAATGAGATTAGTTGATTGGATAAATTATAGCTTTTTAGAACTTCCGTTCTGGAGACGTACATACGTCAACAAAGTTTGTCTCTACACATAAGAGAATTTTGAATGTTCGATATCTTAGGATAGGACGTATTAGAAAAGTTACAACTTATCCAATGAATTAATTTCATTGACAAGTTTGTTCATGCAAAGTGTGAAGTCGAAAGTCGATTTTTCATGTTATCTGAGAAAGATGAAAGTTTTTCCTCAAAAGAATTTAGTAACATTTCGATATCTCAAGAATGAAGGTTCGAAAAACAGAATCATTTCAGACGTTTTTATTACTTTCTAATATTATATCAAATAAACATTGTCTCAATTGAAAGAGTGATTTGACATCTGGAAAGGTGCCTTCGTCGTAAGCTATCGAATTTTTAATATGTCTATTTTCCAGAAATCCCAGATTTTCGAAAAGTTGGAGTCTCTAGAAATTAGACATATTACAAATTCAATCACTTAGTCAAAAATCAATAGGAACTCAAATACTTTTTCAGGTTTTTTATTAACACATTATGTAGTATCAATAGGCAAAAAAGTATTTCAAATCAGAAGAAGATATCTGAAGAGATTCCCATAGTCAATCCTACACATCTCTAACTGTAATACATTACAAAAATCTTTCCATATCTAATCAAAACATTATCATCGTATTGAACATTATGTATATATATATATATTTTCATTGTTCGATTTATTCCATTCTTTAATGAGATACACTTAATATATCACATCAAATTGAAAAATAATTATTTCTGTCATATATTAAAGCATTCTTTCTTAATTCTAAATCATATAATAATCAATATTTGTATTATTATAACATCTAACATATATATATATATATATAATAAAATATAGAAATTATTCTGAGTTATTCACGAAATTGACAAAAAATATGATAAAATAACCATAAACATAAAGCAATAAATAACCATATATATATTGTTCGTATATTTGGTCTTAGTCGAGAATATTTAATAAGTGTTATTATAATCCAAATAAGATTTATTAAATCTGATAAAATAAGCACAATATTTCTTTCAATTTCATCAAAATTTAATTCTCCAACAGCAAGAATAATATGTAAAAATGATATTATAAATAATAAATAAATAAACCATGTTGGTATTTGTATTTTATTCTTAATAATTAAACATTGATAAAATATATATGTAGCAATAAGTTCTGTAAATGAAAAATATATTTGTGATTTTAACATTCGATAATAATCACTATCATTTATATAATTAATAATTGTCCATGCACCATAAAAATTTGAATAAACTGATGGAATTAATAATAATAAAATAAATTGTTTTCTAAATAGTATTTTTAATAAATATTGACGTAAAAGTTCACTATAAAAAATAAGAATACATAATAAAATAATTATTTGTTTTTCATAATTAAAATAAAATATTTTATAACCACCACGTCCATATTTACCACGAAAAAATCCATCCCAACAATCACATGTACAACTATTTTTATCAACAGAAAAATAAACATTTTGTAAATGATAACCTGATATTTGTGTTGATGTTACAAGTCCTATTGAAATAATAAGTGTTACAAATATTGTTGATAACAAATGAATTATTATTGATTGTATTTGAGAATAGAATTGATTTTCATTCGTTGATAAAATCATTCTTTATATTTATTATGAACTAAAACATGCATAAAAAATAATATATATATATATATATATATTTGATAAGAAGTTTAAAAATTAACGTTCGTTAGTAAAGATTTTAATATTTAATTTTTAGTAATATATGTGTTCAAGAAATTCAATAACTTTGTGATCAGATTACATCGTATACAACAGAATAGTCGATTCAAGATATGATTAGAGTCAATATACTCAACTTTTGGCGATTGAAATCGTTTAATTATGACAAACATTTTAACTTTGTTAGCTACTAAACAAATATTAAAAATACGAAAAGCAAATAAATAATAATAACTTATTTTTTGATCTTATAAAATTACCTTCAGTTGTAAACTTTTATTATGCAAAAACATTAGTAAGTTATTGTAATTACGAGAAAACATTTCCGTATTTTAAGCCACTTTGGAGTCGAAACTATATACATTCTGTAGACTCTAATGACTTCTGAATATTTTGAAGAGTTCATATTCCAAGTTAAATTTCTATCGATATATTTAATTTTAACCGTATTTTTTAACACAATGTCGTGGTCCTTCTCAAGACAGCTTGAAAAAACGACTTTCGAATAATGCTTCTAAACTTCGCATAGAAAAAGATCTCAAAGAACACTAACTTTGAAATTTCTTGCTTGCTCCTATTTTAAAATATGAAACTAAAATATTTTGTGCTATTATTAACTGAAAAAAATAAAGCTTTTTTTCTTATACATGTATCTAAGGGCCGAAGAACTTTAAAAATCATGTCATCATGTTAAAAAATATCGTCAACATAAAATATCCTGACAGAAATACGTGAAGAGCACAAATTCTTCTCAGAATATTGCATGCTCATTACGGGCTACAGAATTCACATCGTCTTAAAATGAAAATGAATTGACACGTGAAAATGTTTCTATGTTAGTGTCGCGATGACAAAAAAAAAGAAATGCAATATTAAGTTATTTCTTTTTTTTTACGAGTGTTACAAATTGTAGTAGCATAAAATTACATTTGAGTTATACTGTCTTACTTCGATGTAAATTAAACTATTTGATGAAATGTACGTTATTCCTTTCGTTCTCGTTTTGATACATTTCATATATTTCAACGTGATTGTGTAAGAAAAATGTTCTTTCTTTAATATTGCTCTTTTTTATTGATTCGATGAAAGAAAAAGAAAAAAGAAAACTGACAAGAGAAAAAAAAAAGAACGAAATACATGCATTTAATGAATATACTTAAAATGTACGTGTGAAATCTAATGCACGTCTCTTTTTCTTTCTTAACAAGCTTATAAAATGTTCTTGGTATAGTTTTCATCGAACTATGATCAACGAAAACTTTCGGTTAAACTTGCATTTTAACCTTGTTGTTGATAACCGTACATTCCTCCATATAAGTTTGAATATGATGGAACAGTAAATGAACCGAAACTTGTTTGAATAGCTCCACTAAAACCACCGGTTGCTAGATTTACTGTTGGTACACCAGGACCAACGACTATTTATAATAAAAAACAATAGAACATGGAAGAAGTTGATTGAAATTTAAAATAACAGAAAAAAAAAGATAATATTTACCTGCACCAGTTTGTACTAATGGTGCAACATCGACAGCGGGTGGTGGTGGACCACCAGTACTAACTAAACTTGCATAACCAGATGCAATAAGTTGACCAACTGAATAAACTTTTCCATAAAAATTAACTACTGGTGGAAGAATGTAAACTATAAAACAAAATAAAATTTTTTTAAAAGATAAATTAAAAGAAAAAAACAAAAAGCTTATTTTTACCACCGCCTTGTGGTGAATAGATGATTGTTTGTTTTGTTCGACGTTCAACGAAAATTGGTAACCATGGAAGAAAATTAATAAGTGGACCGAATGGTGCTAAAAAAAAAAAATTTCTATTTAATCTATCATGAATAATATATGCATACGAAATCGACGACGATCATAACGAGCAACAGGAAAACGAAATCGTTGTGGTTTTGGCTTTTTACCACCTTTAGATGAACCTCTAAGATATATATTCATATGACCAACATAATCGGGTGATTTGCGCTGTGATAAAAAAAAAAAAAAAAAAGACGAAAATATTTTGTATGATTATAATAAAAATTAAAATACTTACACGTCGTTTTGATTGTTTCCTTGAAGGTTTAATATCTTGATCGTCATCATCATCATATTTGCTTGGTCTTTTTTCATTTGAATCTTCATCATTATCATCACGATCTGACTTTTTATCATCATTATCATCACGATCTGATTTTTTTTCATCATTATCATTTCCATCTTTCATTGCATTAGTTTTCGTTCCATTTGAATCATTTTTATCTTTTTCAACTTTATAATAAAAAGATTTATTTTTATATGATAAAAATATTAAGTAATTATATTTACCTGGTGCTTCAGCAGTAGCTAAATTAAAGAAGAAAAAATGAAATGATCGATTTTTTTTTTTTTATTAGTAAAAAGAAAACATTATTTTTATTTGTCTTACTTTCTTCACATTGATGTTCATAAATAATTGCTAATAAGACCAAGATAAATAAAAGCTATGAATAAAATTTTAAAAAAATATGAAAATGAAAAAGAAAAAAAAATTTTTTTTTTTCAACTAACTTGAACGCGCATTTCTTTCGTATTTTGCAAAATAAATGTAATTGAATACGAGCTTACTATTGACTTTTATAAGGAGATAATGCGTGAGTAAATGTGAATATTTTTTAATATTCTTCATAAGTTCTCCTACGCAGCTTATCAATAAATTCAAATTATTTTGACATAAATGGTATTTTATTATCAATCTACGTGGGAAAATTTCTTTTTTTTTTCAAAGTATCTTTTGAAATTCTGTAAAATGTAACCTGCAATGTTTACTTGGTATGTTAGATTCATTTATTTATTCGTACATAGTTTCTTTGCGTTGGTTTGAATGAACAGATTTTACACTTATTTTTTTTTTTGTTTAGTTTTAATTGTTTTTAGGATGAATATGATGAGATCACGAGACAATGTTCTCAGTTAATTCTTCATATATTGATTACAATTAGGGAAACTTTGATTAAGGTCAAATATCTATGAAGAGTGGTCATGCAAATTTTTCAACTTTAGACGGAGGGATGAGATGCGGGCGTATATCAGACAATGTGACATAGAGATAACAAAAATTTTTTGTAAAAATCTTTTTAATGTTACTGGACGATAAAAAATAATTTTGAAAATTATTCCTTTTGTTTTTTTTTCATAGTATGAATTCAGAAAATGATGATTCCAAAGCTTTATATGATTAAAAAAAAATATTTACTTATTAGTTCAATTTTCAATATAATCTATTCAATATGAGCAATAATTTAGTGAAGAATCTATGTCGATCTTCTTGGTTCGAGATCAACCGAATAATATTACTAAAGATTACAATTTCTCAATATTTTTACACTAAATTTAAAATATCAGTGAAAATAAATGGTAATTTCTGTAAATGTAATCATGCTTATTATTATAGACTACTTTCGCACATATACTCAAAATTTTGTGAAAAGAGACAAAGGAAATTTAGCCAATGATTTCGACATCCGACCAAGAATGTCAATTTATATTTATTTTTAATTTAATTTACTCATAAATTAAGTTATCAGTAATTTATATTTAAAATAAATTATGATAAAATTATTTTAAATACAAATTACTGATAACTTAATTTACGAGTAAATTAAATTAAAAATAAATATAAACTGACACTCCTGAAATAGCGAAAAAAATCAACAACTAGCATCAATATATACGTAAATAAGATTGAAACAAAACTGCGTCTTATAGAAAACAAGTGCTTTTGTATGTACAATTGCTGACTGCATTTGATTAATGAACAACTGATTTTTATAAAAAAAAACGTCTAGCTCGAGAAAACTATTTTAAATTTTTGAACGGCAGCTCGTAACACTATTCATTATTCTATGTCGTAAAAATTGTTTTTGAAAAACTCATCGTGATGAAAAGTAAGATCTTCTGATCGATTAGGAATTGTTGATTGAATGAAAACATGATATAGCATATGATGTTTTGATGAATATAATGTTAAAAATAGGATTTATTTCTTACTTAAAGTATCCTAGAGAAATATGTTAATTTAATTTAATTTATATTTATTAAATTACAAAAAACAAATAAATTAACAGTAAAATGACATCCCTACATTCGACTCGGTGAGTTTTTAGCTGGAGCTTGCAGGAAAATACGGCCATAATTAGAAAAATATGAGCATCGGATTGTTGGTTCCAATTTTCTGACCAAAATCGGTTGTACATTATTCACCCGAATGCCCAGAAAATCATTGTAATCATGTTACAATGAGATAGACAGAGGGTAGTACCAGTTCCTATCCTTAGAGTTTAGGGAACATCTTATTATGAATCAGAAAAACTTATGTCCAAATATAATAAGAAGGATTTTTATCCTCTTAAAGAAGTTAAAACTTCATATACAAAATACATATCTAGTCTAGACATTCATTATCATAAAGAATGAATATATTCCTAAGCAGAAAATTGAAATCTGTTTTACACGTTCCATCGTAACAATCAACGAAAGTATTTATGAATCTATGTTTTTTTTTGTTCTATATTTCAAAAACAAACGATATCACTTAAGTTATTCTTTAGAAATTTGTAGCAATATCCAACCTAAATAGAATAATATGTGCTAAATAGTGTCAGAGATCGTCTTTTATCACAATTGGAATTACGGAGTTTAATCAATGAGAGGATTTTATAATTTGATTCCTATATATTGATTAAATTTTATATTTGAAAATTAAGTAGATAGATGAATATGTGATGTTATTTGAAAATAGTACATGACACATTGAGATCGCTTCCTATGTAAATCTTGCGAACTTAATTCTTTGTTTTTTTTATATATAAAATAAAGAGCACAAAAAGAAAAAAAAAACAAATCTATTAAGCTGATTTTACCTATGATTCATATCTGTAATGGCTTTATATTGATATTTACTTTTAAGAATCTAATTCTTATTGTTTTTCATTTCTTGTCTAATATTTATTTTTTTCAACAAAAACATGTTTGATAGAAAGACAATCGTTTATATATTTTTCATTGTTATTTTCAATCAACAATATGATTTAATTCATAGTGAATGTCCACCTGATTCAATTATTGAGCCATGCTCATGTGTTTTAACAATACCATCACATAGTTATTTATTAATTAATGATGTTAATCCTGAAACAATATATATTGAAAAAAAATCCATTGTATGTGAACATATACATAATTCATTATTTGATTTAAAAAAACTATTTTTCAATCTTAATTCATATATAAATGATAATGAAACAAATTTTGATAATTTTCTTTTATATAATACATCTATTAAATATATACCGAAAAATGTTTTTTATAATATAACATTTAAAAGTTTAATGTTTCAAGATAATTATTTATTAACAACAATTGATGAATATGCATTTTATGATTTTAAAGATTATGTTGAAATATTTGAAACATTAAATACAAATTTATCTGATAGTAATACGATATTTTCTATATTAAGACAATTTCAAAATTTACGTCGTGTTAGTATGCATAATGATCATTTAACAACTATTCCAGATTATGCATTTAATCATACGAATTTAACAATTATTTTGTTTGGTCTTGAAAATAGACGAACAAGTCAACCAATTCAAAGTATTGGTCAATATGCTTTTTATAATGTACCTAATTTAGGATTATTACGTATATTTTCACCTAATCTAACACAAATAAATAAATATTCATTTGCTCAACGTATGCGATTATTATCGGATACTACATTATTTATTTATATCGGTGGGCAAATGTTAAATTCAACTAGTTTTCCATTAACATCACTTAGTCGTTTTCGTAATCGAAGAGTATATTTACGTTTATATTTTACAAATTTAACATATTTAGATGAAAATATTTTTCAACCATTTCTTGAAATCAATCCATTATCAATAGTTGATATGCATTCATCAAATATAAATTTTCAATGTGATTGCCAATCAGCATGGATTCAATATGATTATTTACAAACCATTGAGGAATTAGAAAATCGTGTTTATGGATATAAATGTTGGTCATATGATTTTTCTAATTGCGCATTAAATAAACAAAAAAAAAATAAATGAAACTTTAAAAAAAAACTAGGGACTAATCAATCTATTCGTTAAAATTATTTTTATGAACAAAAAAACAACCAAGGTCTTCTTTCACAGCATGTTCAAACAGTTATTCATATGCTTTTTCATCGTAATATCTTTTCTGGAATATCCTATACGTTCTTTTCTGTTCTTAATGATCGATCTATTTTTTTTTTGTCTATCCTTCTATATATAATTCCTAACATTTGCAGTTATGGTACTAGTACATGTATACATAGTTTGTCTCTTTTTTTTTTTCTATTATGTATACATAAGCAATAGAAAGAGAAGAAATACATATTCGTTTGTATGCTTATTGGTCTTTTGTTTGTCATTGATACATAAAAAAAGAAGTCTTGCTTATTCAAAATGAGTCGATATAAATCAACAAATAGTTCGATTAAAAGTCATCTATCAACAGCAAGTTTACCAAAAGAAGAAGTTAATGTTGTTTTACTTGGAAAGCAGAGTGTTGGTAAATCAGCAATAGTTGTTAAATATTTAACAAAACGTTTTATTCGCGAATATGATCCATTTCTTGGTAAAAAAAAAAAAACAGTTTTGTTTATTATTAACATAAAACAAATGTATGTTTTCTGTACTTTTTTTTTTTGTTTTTGAATTATCAGAAGATACTTATTGGAAACCAGATGTTGTTGATCAACAAGAAGTTCTTGTCAAGGTCATGGACACTTACGGAAAAGTAAACGCGAAAAAAAAATTCTAAAATCAAGAAAAATTCAACGAATTTTATATATTCTAGGATGATAAACGTTTACCTTATTACTTAAAATGGGCTGATGCTGTATTAATTACATATAGTATCACTCAACAAGATAGTTTTGAAATGGCACTTGCTTATTTAGATGCAATAAATAGTTATTCAAAAAGTTTAACTGTATCAACTAATGAACTTGTTATTATATTACTTGGAAATAAACTAGACCTTGAACGAACTAGGTAATAAAATTGAATGAAACTTTTGAAAGACAAAAAATAATTTTCTTTTTTAAGAGTTGTTCCAAAATCTGAAGGTGAATCAATAGCAGCTAAATTTAGTTGTTCCTTTTGTGAAACAACAGCTGCTGATGATTATGAATATGTTCAACAGTTATTTCATCGTACTGTACGTGAAGTACGAAAAGAACGTGAACGTGTTCAGATTTCAAATGCTATTAATGAAGAACCAACAACACCAGAAATAAATATAAATACAAATGCAAATACAAATACCAATGCAAATACAAATGCAACTACAACTACAACTACAAATGGTCCTTCTCCATCATCATCTTTATCCTCAAACTCATCAATAAATTTTTCAATATTAAATGAAACAGAAAAAATCTCACCATCAAATATTCCATTACCACCACCAATGCCAGCAACCCTTGCACATAAATCAGCACAAATAGCAACAAATGTTAAACCTGATTCTCAACCGTTAACTAATTCATATACTCCAAGTTCATCACTTTCATCTATAGGTAAATCAGGTTCATTACCAAGAGTTGGTTCAGCATCAACATTATCATCAGCAACAATCGCAACTAATACAAATTCTCAAGCAACATCATCAACTGCTAAACGGACACCATCAAAAACATCTTCTGTATTGTCAAAAATTTTTAAATAATTTTATTCTAAAAAAGAAAAAATTGATTTTCGAAATTTCTGTTCTTTACTTTTTTTTTTTTTTCTCACATCAACATGGAAAAGTAAAATTAAGCGTAGAATAATATGTGTCCACGGTACAATTATTTAACAAATTTTTCGACATCTCACAGTTGTCTATAAGAACAAAATGTCAGAATTATTCCCTTCGTTTTTTTTTTTTTTATTTTTGTTTAATGGGTTCTAAAAAAAACAAGACATCTGATTTGACTAATTCTACACTCATTGTACATAATTATACCACTTCATTTTTTTTTTGTTACTATGAAGATCAATGTAAAGGAAAAAAAAAGTATTCAAGAGCTCATTGAATTGAAAATATAAGATCAATAAAAAAGATCCTATTTTCAGAATATTCTTCAATCATTTATTTAATATCTAAAATCATTATTATTGTGATCAAATTGGCAAAAAAAAACAAAAAATATTAATCATAAAATTACGTTATTTTAAATAATAATAAAATTTATATTTAAAGTTAAAATATGATCGTAGACGTATGAGGTTCATTTATTGAACAAACATATCTACCGTCTAATAGACTTATTTCGAAAAAAAACAAAAGAAAACGTTTTTAAATAATTATACGAAATTTTTATCTATTTGAATATGATTAAAAAGCTGTCGGAAACATTTGTCCTTGATATTTAACTCCACTATCACCACTTACATAACAATAATTAAGCATATCATCATTTAAATGAAGATCATAAGAAGGTTTTACTATTGTAGATGTACCCGTATCATCTACAACGGAATTTCTAGGTGTTATTAATAATGATGAAGATTGTAAAGATAATAATGGATTTTCAGTTAAATTTTTCGATGATAATGATGGAGATTGTTGAACTGAATTTAAACGAAAATTTTTTATTGAACGTTGAAATTGACGATAAGTTGATAAAGGTCGTCCAGCTCGTTTTGCTGTTATAGATATTGCTGGTATTGATAATGAATCTGTTGTTAATGAAGTAAGAGAATAACTTGATGGTGATTGAAATGATTGTGATGTTTGATTTCTATTTAAATTGTAAGTTATTGTTGTTTCAATATTGTCTGCATTTCCTTGTTCTTGTTGTTGTTTACGACGTGTACGTGCTAATGATTGCCTTCGAAGATGAGCAAGAAAATGTCCATATTGATATTGTGGACGAGGAAGAATTGGTTGTTGTTGTGGTGAAGGATTGAAATAAGTATTGGCTATCTGAGGTGAAACTGGTTGATGAGATGGTGTGGGTGTATTAACAACATATAGAAATTGAGCATTTTGCTGTTGTTGTTGTTGATAATTAGAACGATGAGATGTTGTAGGACGTGTAGTTGATGTTGAATAAGTAGCAGAAGATTTCGGCTTCGTTGAAACATTTGGACGATTAGAATTAAGTGTACGTGGTTTTATTTGTGTTGTAGAAGATTCAGCTGATGTATTGAATAGATTTGTTGATTTTTTATTCGTTGCCATCTGTAGAAATTTCTCTTTCAAATTAGAAAATGAAGGTACGGTAATGATTGGCAATGCGCCGTTGGACGTCATTGGACGGCTTCGTGGGTAATTATTGAATAAATTACTGGATGTTAATGACTTTCTTTTTTTCACCATTGTTGGATTCAAATCGATAATAGAAAATTGCAAAGGTATATCTGTCATTACGTTGAAGCTTTACAAGTAACAATAGAATAAGAATGTGTTAACGGTACAATTGAAGATAATTACAATAGATTTTTCATTATAGACAGATTCTTTTTTTTTTCCTTTCATACCTTTGCATACTTCAATAAACGAAATCGAAATAAAAAAGTAAAAGATATAACTTGGTAACAAAGTTTTTTTTTTTTCTTCTTTGTACTAATCGTCTTTAAAGAAGAAATAATATTTGTTCTTTTTTTTTAAAAATCGCACTCACATATGTTTTTTATGATGTGATTATAACTCAGTAGATTTACATCTGTATATGAAATGTTATTTATAGACTTTAATAATTGTGTTTGTCGAATATAATTTCATTTATTAATAATAATGATAATCAATGAAGATTATATTTCATAAATATAAGATCAATATTTTGGAATAAATCCATATCATTGAATGCATGAATATTTGATTTTATCATTTAGCAATCTATTCATTGCTTAAGACAATTATAATAATATAAATGTAAGTATAACATGGAACTACTCAACCTATTGATTCTACCATTTTAAAATTTATTGAAAATAATATCTCATTTAAATAAATTCATATGAATATGTATATTTTTTTAAGACACCTATCGAATATCACAATAATGGATACTTACAGATAATAAAATTATTTAATTTATATATATAATAATTTAAATTCATCTAAAAGAAATTCTGCAATGCACTGAGTATTAACCATATTTTTTACTTTTCTCTTTGTGATAGTTGTAATTATAGTGTCAAAAATACAAAAAAAGAAACATAAAAAACAAAAAAGTTTGAATAAGCAATCCAATAGATGTCCTATGTCATCAAGTCTATTCAACATAATATTATTTTATTCATATAATGATTGGTTTACATCATATCTTTTAGCATAAGTAATAAAATTTCGTTGATCTTTAAAATAAATAAATACCAAAAACTTTATTCATATCATTCTAAATGATCAAAAGAAACGTTTTGATTGTTACAAGTCTCGTTATATAATAATCTAAATAAATCTTCTATGGATTCGACTTCAACAGAAACTACATCTAACAACAATTCATTCTCAAATGATGATTATTCCGAAAATCTTCAGGAAGAATTTGTAAGAGATTTACCTTCACAAACAATTAAATTTCTTTTTTGTCGTAGCTGAGGGTATTGTATTATATTTATATTTTTATTTATCTAATAGATATTTATTTAAGGTATCGAAATGTGTTCGAACAATTTTCTGAAGTTGTTCGTACACATTATCCAAATATGATAATTATTGGAGAAAATTATCCAACATCATCTTTAAAAATTTTATTTGCACGAATTTTATTTGTAATTAAAATAATTTTATTTATTTGTATTTTTTTGGATCAAAATCTTTTTTCATTTCTTAATATATCAACACCAAAAATTTATCTATGGGCATTACAAAATAAAATTTATGCTTGTATAATGATTTATTTTCTTTCAAATTCACTTGAATCATATCTTATGACAACTGGTGCATTTGAAATATCAATTGATAATGTTCAATTATGGTCAAAACTTGAAACTGGTCGTTTACCATCAAATAATGAATTTAATCAAATATTACAAAAATTTACTACTAATTCCAATTAATTTGAATAATTAATCTTTTGTATATATATATATATCAATAAATTAATGATTTAAATTTTCTTATGATGATGCAAGTCAAAAGTGATTATATATATCATCGACTTGTCATCTGATCTATAATTTATCATTAATTTATTGAATTATTTTATAAAAAAGATTAAGTTACTAATTTAGAGAATAAAGTCAATTATGGTAAATAATATCTTCCTTTTTTTTTCTATTTGTGAAAAATAAATTACTATGATAAATTTATAATTTTAACTGTTTGTTCTTTTTCTTTTCGCTAAAGACATGATATAATTTAGATAATAAATAATTTTCATAAGATAATTGTAATCATCAGTTTATTCTTCATTGATAAAGTCTAAAGTATTTATTACGTCTAAATCGATTATTTGCAAAGATACTAAGATTACACTCACGAGGGAATCTTTTTAGCTTAAATTTTCAAGATATTCTAGTTGCAAGTAGGTTTATCTATACTGATAAATCATTGTTGATTTGCTTCTATTCTGAAACAAAAACATTAAATCTACCGATTTATATGAGCAATGTAAAAGACACACTATTACCATAGTTGTATCTTAGGATGGGAACAGCGACAAGATTCGAAATATTTCTTTTAAAAAAAGCATATTCTCGTTAAGGCCTGTCTCCGTGCAAAATTTCATATTAAAATTCGTTTTTATGGTGTCGTTAAGAGGAACCACGGCATTTAGATTGCGTTAGTAGTGCAAAACAAACAATCGATAAGGAGTAAGTTTACTAAGTGTTTATACTTCGAAAAGTAGGTATTCGTCCTCCTGAAGTGTTAAACCGCCTCTTCAGAAGAGAAGCTCTTCATAGAACATTGCTTAGACTGATTTTTATTTCATGCCTGCTATTTTTTCCTTTTCAATATTGAAAAATGACAAGTTTCTACAAATCTTTTATATACATTAATTACAAACGAATTCAAATTCTAAATAAGAATATCTCTAGATTTCAATACATTATCAAAATCAAATTTTCATAACATCTTTACTTCAAAAATTTTAATGTAAAATTTAGTCAAATCTTCTCAGTTGTTTTAATAAATTAATATTTCAAAATTAGACTAATTTTCTATTTTTATTTACCGCATACGAATTAGTCTAGAATGTAAATAAATTATTAATCCTATCTACAGATGTCGTTTGCTTTGTTTTTATTACCATCCGAAAATAATTGGTTTTTTATTTTTCTTTTCTTAACATATTCATTCTATGTTTAGCATAAAAATATTCACCTGACATTAACTAATCTTTTTGTTTTTGTTTTTTGTTTTCTAGATGATCGATCAAAAATTATTATTTAGTTTAAGTATTGTTCTTCTATTAACATGTTACGATTTAAATCGATCATATGTAAATCAAAGTTCAACTAAAGAAAAGTCAACATCAACAAATAATGATATTTCATCCATTCCACCACCTAAAATGAAAATGCAAATGTTACCAATTATTAAATTTCGTTATTGTCATAGTTGTGGGTATGTATATTTTAAGTATTGTGTTTTTTTGCTTTTATTGAATTCTTTTGTTCGTTTTTTCAGATATCAAAATCTTTTCAAACAATTTTCTGAACTTGTTCGTACACATTATCCAAATATAGCAGTTATGGGAGAAAATTATCCACCACCACCATTAAAATCTTTAGTTGCACGAATTTTATCAATAATTAAAATAACTTTACTTATTTGTCTTCTTTTTGGTCAAAATCCTTTTTTGTTTCTTAATATGTCAACACCAAAAATTTATCTATGGGCATTACAAAATAAAATGTATGCTTGTTTAATGATTTTTTTTCTTTCAAATTCACTTGAATCATATCTTATATCAACGGGTGCATTTGAAATATCAATCGATGATGTACCATTATGGTCAAAACTTGAAACTGGTCGTTTACCATCAAATAATGAATTTATTCAAATGTTACAAACATTTAGTGCAAAAATAGATTCAAATAATCATGTTCATCATAATATTTGATTAATTCAATGTCTGTATACGTACTTGAAAGTTTATTTTCTTGCTATCGTCTTTAAATATTCTAAAATAATTCGATATTTATCAATGAAATCTATGATTCAATTATTTATGACGATGCAAATCAAAAGTAATTATGTATTACAGACTTGTTATCTGAATATATTGTTCATCATGGATTAGAAAAGATGAAATCGAATAAAAGAAAAATAAAGTCGAATGTGATAAAACAAATTTCAAGTTTCATTTATTATAGATGTAGCTTTTTCTTTTTTTTTTTGTTTAAAAATTGTCATGTTTCTTATCGAAATAAAATTTTATTTGTAGTAGACAGTTTGATATTTTTTTTTAAGTGTGAGACTTTTTGATTAACAATATTCATAACATATTTGTATCGTTGAATTCTTTATCTCCTGTTGATGACGGGAGCGAGCATTTGTAGACCAATTGCAGAATATATAAAGACTTCGTGGAGTTTGAAAACAATAAGAACATTTTTTTATAGTGAAACTCACATATATCGATTAGAAACGTAAAAATGAAGCGTCCTATTTTTTGTTTACATCGTTGCTACTGTTTGTCTTAATTTAACATTGTTATCATTATTATAAATATTGTACTAATAATGCTGAAGGCAACTAAAAGTTTCTTTTTTTTTTAAGTTTAGAGGTTCCAATTTTGAATAGTCAATAAGACTGGAAGTTAGAAGAATTAACATGAATTGCTTCGAAAAATACTGACCAGATACCGAAACCGAATAGAATGAGGTTGAGACACTTCATTCGGCTTTTTTTTCTCGTTCGATCATGTAATTATGTTACACGATAGTGATAGTTGGCTTAAATGAACAACACATATACAAAAGAAAACAATGCCAATTTAGAAGTTCTAATTAAGTTTCTCTAATTGTTGTTAACACATCTGTTAACTTCGAAGGTGTAATCAAATAACGGATATCTATGTTACAATCTAATGATTCTTTGATAAGTGAAGCACTTTTTTGATACATATTTATTGACAACTGTACAGAGAGTCTTTTTATCCTGATAAATATCATTTTTAACGACGATAGACATGTATAAACAAACTCACGCGTCTATCAGTACATATCGATACCAGCTGTTTAGTTAAGCTTGTTCAGTTATTCTTTTTCAAATATTTTTGTTATTGCTTTTGAATGAAGGATTAGAAAGAAAACGAGTTTTTATCATTTTATTCTAAAGTGTTCTGACTAATTTTCGTAGCGATTGGTTCTTGCTGGTCCAATTTTTCGACTTGGACTCATTTTGTGGACTTTCTACTGTTCAAGAATTAAGTACAGCTTTATTCTAGGGAAGATTGGTGTAGAAATTTTACGAGCAATTTTATTCTGTAAATCTGTTTTCTATCATACTGCTGGTGTTGTAGAACCAAATGATCATGAAATTTGTATGGAAATACCACGCATATAAAAATTCAGGAAAACAGTAGAATAGGTATGTCAAAGACCCTAATTCAAAGCATATTATGATTCAACTAACAAATTCGTTCACAGAAAGCACAGTGTTTCTCTTGACGAAAAGACAACTGAAGCGATCCCATAAAAACATGAAACAACAACGCTTTATATGACTAAAATAAATAACAAACAGTATTTTTCCAAGCAATTCATATTAATTCTACTAACTTCGCATCTTATTGACTATTCAAAATTCAAACATCTCAACTTTTTTGTTTTTAAATTCAGCAGAAATGTATGGCGGTAAAAGATGCACGATCATGTGTTTCAAGGAGACTACGATACGTATAAAAGTAGAAAATGAATAAGAGAATGAAAGAGGATTCATGGTGCGTAAAAACCGAACAGAATCAATGATGTCACGTCTTCATATTGTGTATTTTATGCACCTTGTTAGAGAAAAGACACTTCATTAATACATATATGTGGCAGGTAGAAAAAAAATCACTTTCTGTCAATGATGTATGCACTATACAGCCAATCAATAAGCATATTAAAACCTTGCTAGTTACTCTACTAATTCGTCACGCTTTATGAAGGACGACTTTTTTTTTTGGTTCTTACTTCTTTACTTACTTAGTTTCACATGATAAAAAAAATTGTTTTTTTTTACGATACGAATTTTGTAGATTTCAACTTGGTAGGCAAGTATTATATAGTATTACTTTCAAGAATAAGATTGATTTTAATAACTCTTTAATATATATAGTGCAGTACTAACAAGGAAATATCTCGAGGTGAAGTTCCGTGTTAGACATGATATTTTGGCTATATGTAGGTCTTAGTGAGACTAGAAAAATCTTAAACGAGAAATACATACTCAGAATTTTTCTGCTTGTACTTCATTTCATAATGATCATCGGTAGCATACTCTTTTAGATCTGTAAAAGATTTCTAACCTTAGATATCAAGTTTTCTTGCCTATCAATAGCTTGCATGAATAAGGGTATCTAAATTGAAGTTGATTTTTTTTTCAGACGAAACATACACGCACATCCATGGGTAGATAATAAAACGGCAGTAAAGCAAAGGAACAGAATTTTAATGTTTTGCTTTTACTACTAGTAGCTGGTCATTCTTTGTACCCGATATGAGAGGATAAAGTCGATACTATCGATTACATAAATAATTGTATGTTCATACATGTCTCATCTGAAAACGGTCGACTTCAATTTGGATACTCTTGGTCATGCAAACTAGTGTTAGGCAAGAAAGTTTGATATTTGAGGTTAGCAATGTTTTACAGAACGCAAAAAGTATGCCACCAATGACCATTGTAAAATGAAGTACACACAAAAAAATTGTCAGTATGTATTTCTTGCTGTTCTGAGAAAATCCACGCTGTAGTTTATTCCAATATACAGCAGGGGCTAATTGAATTTTCCCCTTTTCTTTTTTTCTTTTTATTACTATACTTCTTTTATTTATTAATTGACTATATATAGCAAGAAAGCTCTGAACGCGCTGCATCTTTTGGTATGTTTACATTGAACATCAAATGCTGTTTAGAGCATAAAAAGTGTATTTAGAAGAGAAAGTGACATTTTTTTTTATCTTTGCACGGTCTATAATGTTGTAACACTTTTTATTTCGTATATATCTCGGCTTAGGTAAATGATAAAACCTTGAACATTTTTTTAAAAGATGTACCGTGAAAAACTCTACATAAACTGTACGATTGAATTCCTTTTTACCTGTTCTAATGGGTTTTCTGACACGCAAAATGATACAACTTACATGGTGGTGTCACTTCCGTTTATATAGAAAATATTACAAGGACTTTTTGATTTGCTATAGGATTTGACCTATACAGATTTTGTAGAGCTTTTAACAGCATATATTTCCAAACAAAATTGAATATTCCATCGTTTTCTGTAATCAAAATACATGTAGAGCAAAAATATTTTCCAAAATGTCCAGTATAATGGGCAGTAACAATGCCATGTAAGTTGCTCAGTGTGAGTATCAGAAAAACCATTAGAACAGGTAAAAAGAAATTCGATCATACGCCTTTTGTAGAGATTCTCGCGGCGCATCTTTTTGGAAAAGCTCAGAGTTTTATCATTTACTTATGTCCAGATTTATACAAAATAACAAATGTTACAACATTATGGACACCGTGAAAAGAAAAGAAAATGTCACTTTTTATTCGTTAAACAGCATTTAATGTTCAGCGTAAACATACCAAAAGATGTACCGCGTTCCAGGCTTTCTTGTTATATATAGTACATTAATAAATACAAGAAGTATATATAATAAAAATAAGAAAAACAAAAAGGGAAAATTCAATTGGCCCCTGCTGTAAATGTTGTTACGCTCAGTGAAAATGTGAACTTCATATCTCAAAAAGAAAGCCACAGAAATCCAAACACTTTTATGGTTTTTCTAGTCTCATTAAGACCAGTAGTGTCAAGTCTGAAAGTTTAATTCAATTATTGAAAACCTTTCTTAGAAATGCAACTATTCTGCTTTCATGGCACTTACATCGAGATAGATGTGAATGTTTTCGTGTCACTTGATTATTGAATAGCGGAAAATATTCACCTTCAATTATTGCATAATTGAATAGTTGAATCAGAGCAATATGGAAATAGAAAGTTATGAACGAATTTAATGCGAAGGTTAGGCAAAACTCAACAGTATATGTAAAAGTTCGTCGAGAGCAATGCTGATGTTTATGTAAGTTTATTGAATGATTAAATCAATCTCATGGAGTTAAAAAGTTGAAAAAATGACATTCAAAGGATGAAAAGAACAACAAGATTCATGTTTTGAAAATTAATTAAAGTGTGACTTTTAACCAATCAATTTGAAAAACATCAATTTTTATGCCCGTTCCATCATCCAAAAACCATATTTTCTCATGTATTTTGTCATAAAATTTAGGAAAATCATAATTTTTTTTTGATTTTGCCATTCCATGACAATTATATAGAAGAATAATATGGCGTTTGAATCGATGGAACGATGAATAAAATGATATTTGCCGCTTCTCATGGCATGTGTCGCATATTTCATCATTAAGAGAAAAGAGATTGTGTACTGAAAATGTAGCTGATAATACAAATAAGCTTTTTTCGTATAATTATGTTAAATGAATCTAATAATTTGGTAGAATAGAATTTGAAAAGTAAACATTTTCGAAATAATAAAATTTTCTAAGTGTATGTATCAGTAACGAAAATTGTTATGATTTTAATTTATTAATTCATTTCTTATTTTTTAAAATAAATTATTTTAACCTCTCTGACAATATATACCACAAATTTATAACAGTCAAAGTTTGTAAGCTCCACACTTTGGCTCCTCATGGGCCATACTGATAATATTTTTAATCAGCTTACATCCGCTTTTACAGGTTGCAAGAAAATTCTATGAAATCATGCGATATTGTAATGATAGAATACGATAGCAAGGTTCGAAAACTTTCACATCATCTAAATGTAAATTCCTGTGAACAGCGGCACTAAAAGGCAATTCAAAAGTTTTGAGTTCTCTCAGTAAATCGATGATATCTATGACAAATCGATATATAGGTAATTAATCGAAATATGTAATTGTGTATAAGAAGATAAGAGCCATTGTCTGAAAAGAAAACACTGCAATGCATAAATGTAGTTCAATTTTATTGTTATTTTAGTAATCTTCAGTGAATATTTTTATCGCAGATTTTTCGAGAAAAGTTTTTTAAAAAGGTTTCGATAAAAGATCATTTTATCAGATTTCTGTGCACTAAAATATGTCTCTACATTAATGATTTGTTTTTGTTTTAACTTGATGTCGTCAATTTTACTCATATTTACTTTAATCTTTTCGAGTGATACCTCAAAAGTTTTCTACTAGTCATATGTCACTTATTTGACTTCGAAATAAGCACTCAATTTTTTTAAAATAGAACTGTGAAAAACTGCTCGACAGATAAATTTAAGCAACTGGCATAATAGAGCATAATTTGGAAAAAGTTACCTTCATGAAAGAAGATTGTTAACATGAAATCTTTTAACAATATAAAGTATGATAAAACTACAATCATAGTCAGTAAAAAATAATGAGTGTTGTTCCATTAAAATGATAAGTGTGATTATAACAACCTGTGTGAGCTAAAAATATTCATCTATTATGCAAAAAAAGTTTTTTTTTAAATTTGTCTCCAAAAATGTAGAATGAAATTATTTACTCAACATTGGTAAAATAACAATAACAATGAACTTCTTTTATGCATTTCAGAATATCTTCTGTTGAGCTGATAGCTCTAGTCTTCCTCTCCATAATTATATATTTTGATCAATGAACTATACATGTGTTTCTCATAAATGTCCTCGATTTACTGAAAGAGGTCGAAACTTTCCAAGCACTTTTTATTCTTTCCAAGAGAATAATGAATATTTTGATATTTAGATTTTCTAGAGGAACTTTATACACAAGTCTAATTGATTATCATGGAACTACGCAACCGAAAATTGTTCATTATCCTATGTGTCGTTGGGCTTACAATTATTTTGAATAGTATATGTCTTTATATTTCACCTTCACGCATGATAATTCACAATATTACAACTTCTGAAATTCCTTTTCCGAGACGTAGCGATTATAAAATATCAATGGAAAGAATTGCCAAGTATCGATTGTCAACCTATTCTACCAATAAAGTATACAAATGGCTCTTCTTAACCTCATTTCGCATATATCAAATTACGATGCATCGATATTATTTTGCCCACTATTATGCTACGAAGCGACATCCAAATATCGATGCCACTCTTTGGGGTAAAGATTTTCCTGGTAAGCCATCAAATTCATATGCTATGTATCTTCTATTAATTGATTATCAAAGTCAGGAACAAGTACTCGAAATGTGCCAACTAGATAACCCAATGAAATATTGATAGGCTACTCTTAGTGAAAATTTGTATGGCAAACTAGAGAAAATAATTATTTCAAAAATTATCATGTTGTTCATTTGTCGACTAAAGTTAATTCTATTTTAAAGTAAAAAAAAGCATGCAAAACCTACATGCCCGTACATTTCGATAGGTTTTCTTCTCAGTAGATAGCGCGCATGAAAATGGCTGCAGGTGAAAGGTGTTCAGAATCAAGGTTTGAGAACTATATAAGAGCAGTATTAGTCTCAGAATATTTATTCATGAAATTCGTCATTCTCAATAAAGAAAACTTTGTCAGCGTTATCCGAAATGGATCCAAAATATGAAGCTAATATACACACTCAATAGTAACGAAGTAGAAATAAGCAAATTTGAAATTTTCATATTTCGTTTGAATGTTTGGACTTCATAACTTATGCTTTTTATATTCTGAAAGTCAAACATTTGAAATGTTAGAAATTCAAGAGTTCAAAATATACTTTTGTAGAACATGACTGTTAATCAGTATTGAAGTATATAGTAAAAGAAGGTTAAGGGTATTCCAAGCTGGTTCCAGTCCGAAACAGATATCTCGACATACAATTTTGGATTTTGTTTATTTTAAAAGAGAAACGATATCCCTAAGATGGAATTCGAAATTTGCTTACAAATTTATATTCAGTATTTTATACTTAATGGGTTCCAAACTAAATTTCTGACTTTAGAAAATCAAGTTTCTTTTTCTGCTGAATCGATCAGTAACTTGATGAACTTTGTAAGCCGCATAGTTTTGTGAACTTCGATGATTTGCCGAAAGATTTTCAGATTTTTTTAAAAGAACGACGACTTTTCTTCGAAACCACAAACAGGAACCGAGGATGGCACAATGGCGAATTTGTTCATCACTATTTTGAGTAGGAGTCTTTCCCACAACAACATCTTTCATTTTTCCTTTGTGTTATCTTTAGAATTTGTGTTACCAACCCTTAGAAGTTTTTTTTCGTGTGAGCCTGTCCGTCGGTGCCGTTTTCCATATATCATCTTGCAACAGGTCTCTTATTCGAGCGATAGAAATGACAAAATTGTGACTGTGTTACATTTTTATCCTATTCTATGAAATTTAAAGCGCTCCGATTGCTTAGCTCAACAATGGTAAATGAAAGTTTATAAGCTTGAAATTTTAGGTTACAATACATCAATGACAATCATAGAGAATATTAAAAATCGGTTTGGCTCATTTGACTATTTTGATGTTATCTACCACCCAGGTGGTGTTTACTCTAAAACGGATATTCGCTTGGCCAGTCGATATTCGCCTATCATGACTTACGAACATGAATGTTGGGGTTATCGTTGTCTTCCGTGGATAATTGATGATAATACAACGATTCTAATGCAGGCATATGCATACGAAATGGACTTATATCATACGTCTTTCTCTTACAATCGTGTAATTGTTCATATACCACAGTGCGCTGAACCATCTATTTTTTATCCTCCTGTAGCATTAAATAGTGATAAGCGCGTTATACGTGATATCGATATTCTTGTGGTCGGAGCTCTTCAGAGTTTTGTTTATCCACTTCGGTCACGCCTTGCTGAAATGGTTAAAAAAAAATTGATAAAAAATAGCTATCTGCATGACCATCCGGGTTATGTTCTTGTCAATCGTTCAGTTGAACAGACTGAATCGCAGATTCATGATTATGCAGCACTTCTTCGTCGAGCAAAAATAGTAGTTGTCGATTCACTTCGCTATGGTCATGCAATTAATAAATACAGTGAAGTAGCTCTTAGTGGTTGTCTTATAATTGGAGATATTCCGTCCGAACGCGAAGAAGAATTCCGTCGATATATCGTTCAAATATCAATGAATATGACTGATGAAGAAATTCTATCTATTATAGAGTATTGGATAAAAAATGAACATGAACGCGAAGAGAGAGCCTCATTAGGACAAAAAATTGTTCTTAATTCGTATACATGGGATCACAGTATTGATCTATCATTACAGGCTTTAATCAAATATCGACAAGGTGAATTTGGAATCTATCATAACTATCCTTATACAATAAAATGTGCTCCTTTTGATAATACATACAAGGATCAACCAACTGCTACAAAATGGTGTTCAAAAGGATTAAGAGGTATACCACTTCGTTCTTTATGCGAATGTAATTTAACACATATGAACTATATGAATGATGAACCAGATTTGGATAATTGGAGCGGAATGGGAGTAGATGTGAACTCAACAAATCCTAGCATATACTTAGTGCCGACCAGTTTTATAACTTTTTGCGATACCTATGAAATCATTAATGCATTTGCTAGGGGAGTACCATCGGGTAGTTCCTGCAATTGTCAACATGCTGATGGGTCATGGCGAGGTTCAAATATTTGCTATATTTCAAACACAGCTTTAACTATTTCTCGATACCTTGCTTATCTGTATGCTCATAATAATAAAATTTACCATTGATAAAGTGTCGTTTGTGCGGATTCTAAGAAATTTCTAAAATATATGGTGCTTGTCATACAATTTCTCGACAGTAAGTTTTTCAATGACATTCTTTAGCCCTGAACATGAAGTGTTGGATTGGTGTCAGAGTAGAAAAACTCGATTTGTTTCTATTACACGTAGTCGACATTTCCTGTCTTACTCCATCACATAAAGGTAATTGTCCATGACCGATATCACATTCTGTGTTTGAGTGTGTTATTTCTGATGTTGTTGTCGATTTTGACTTAGTTTTCTGCGTAAAATGCTATTGAGGCATTGCGTCTACATCCTATCCATATTCATCTTTACGAATAAACAAAAGTCGGCTAAATGACTGCCGTAGTCTTTTTCATCTAGTTATGTTGACATGACCTGTGCAGCTTTTGTCTCAAAAAGTATTCGAACAACACTAGTTCGAACTTCTTCCCGTCATGCTTGCCGGTCCTAACGAAGTGGCTGACGGTCGTTATTATACATGTATAGTCTGGTCTTTTTCTAGGGAAAGACCCATTCAGGACTACTTGAGAATCGTTTCGATATAAACCCACGTAAACAAAAAATAAGTGAAGAGGAGGGTGTGGGTGTGGATGAAAGTGACAATGACCAGTAGAAATCGCGCCAGAACCACACTCACCAACACTCACGCCCACACCCACACCCATACCCACACCCTCAACATAGAAATGCCGAACCGATCCAATTAAAACGCATAGTTTCAATTTAAGTGCTCACTGATAAAAGAACGATGAGCAATTTTAAAAATGCATCGGTACTATTCCATGTACATATTGCTCGACTCAGTATCGAATACATTCGCCTTTTCGTCGTCTGCTGTTTTGTTCACAATGTTACTTGTCGAGAGTTCCTCATTACGCTACACTCATATGAACGAGATGAATTTGCTTCGTATTCTGTAGCAGAGATTATGCGTTCTCTATACATCTCATGAATCATCCCTACATAGGAAGCGAAAGTTGCTTCCTTTACGTATTTTCTTTTTATACGCTTTCGCGGAGAGACAATGTGTTTTTATAAGGGGCACCTAAGCAGATACATTCGTCTAAGCGGAAAACTTTTATGAGTGCTTACAGAATGAAGCATTGTGTTGACTGTCAGTGGTGGATTTTTTCTCGTTTGAAGAATGCAGCAACGTCCATAATATGATCGAGTGGGACATTTTTTGTGTTTTTCTATAGATGAAACTGCGTGAAACACTATTAGACTGTAACCAGGTGTATATAATTGGTAGATAAATAAAGAAGTCGTGGAAGAAAAAATAAATTGTAAATAAATGAGTGTCGGCAACCATTGGTGAAGCGAGGAGACCTCTGCCGCCCACTGGCAGATTAGTCCGCCCTCGTCTTCGAGTGCTTTTTTAAAGTCATTTCTAGATTTTTACAGGGTATTCGCAATTGTATTAAATGTGCACTTTCACAATATGACAACCGGGTCTTAATTAGAAACATCCTGCGAAATTCTGGTGTATTGTGAACGGAAGCTTCAAGTTTCATTTCTTTGAAGTTCAACGTTTTTCTTACCAACAGATAACTGGCAGATTACATAGCAAATGTATGTGTGTCTTGTCTTTGCAAGTTCTTTTTGTAGGACATTCGATGAGCGTATCGTTTTTCGCTATTTAATACATCCAGCAGACCTCATTGGCAGTTTTTTCGATGTCTCGAACGATGAAAGATAGAAAGAAAGAGCAAATTTTAAAGCTATCGCCACCTTTTTAATTCTAATCTAACAGAAATAAAGAAAATAGCAGTGCTATGTCATCAAGGTATTGGCATGGGTGGCAAGATTTTTGCTTCAGAGAGGTAATACAACCGCTGATAAGGAACATCACTATCCTTTTTTCATTCGATTATGTCTTCACTACTGTGTCGATTGTCTTCGAAAAGTTCACCGCAGCTACTTTCGAGCCTAGGTTGTGGATGTGGGTTTGACATTAGTGCACATCCCACACTCTCTATACACTTCAACACTCTTTTGAGATCATGTTTCAGAATAAAATCCACTATTAAGATGGTTTGATGCTGTCGATACATGTTACAAAATGTTTATTTAAATGCGCTAGTATTCTTTTTCTCTTCATTCTTTTTTCTCATTTTTCTGCTTCTCTTCTCCTTCTCTCTTTCTCTCTCTCTCGCCTTTTTCGTTAATGATAATGACGTTTCTGTCAATTACTGAAGATAATCTGTTTGCTCACGTCATTTTTTTTCATATCAAAGTATAATTTAAAAAATTAATTAAATATCCTTTGAAGATTTTAAGATAGATATGCGTTTATTCTACATATTTGTCAATGTACAGTTCATTTTTTTATTTCAGTCGAAACAACAGCAATGTACCTGGAGCTATTACAAAAAGATCCGAATTTAATTCGAAAAAATGGAATATTTAATTTTCAAAATTCGATTTGCTCAGATCACTAAGTGTAAATTCGTTCAAATACTGATCCTTGTAGTCAGCATTATTTTATTATTTATAATATTTTATCTTTTTTCACAGAAGAAATGAGAAAACTGATCTAGATCTGTTATCATTGCTAGACAAACAGGATTTTACAGTACACTATAGTCACCCATCTCTGCTACCATAGTCAAATTGATAACTGTATACAATAGACTTTTAATCTAGTTTTTTTTTATATGCCAATCTTTTCTGTAATCGGGAACCTTTGAGCTACATCCGTCATTTTTAGCTATGAATACAAAATTTTTAATAAGAATAATCTCCGCATTCTGTATTTATGTGATCATATTTTATAAACATATCAACATATAAAAGAAACAGTTTGATTTTTTTCTCAAAAGAATGGTCAAGCTTTATTAATTTTGTTTTTTCAAATAAAACTCATTTTATCAAAGAATCTACTTTATTAATTATTAAAGCAATAATTTCATAGATTATAAGATCTCACAATTACGTATTTACGTCATGATGTTTCATTTTTCTTGATTTCACTTCATTTTACAGTTATCCAAGCCTTAAGCGACTGCAGAAGAAGAAAATCCCAAATGATATACTATAAATAAAAGTGCTATTTCATATAGAAGTGTTGCATAGTCATTTTTTGAGTACTAACCATTAAAAAATGTCATTGAACAGCACAACAACTGTGATCACTTCAACTGAAGCAACAAACACAATTGTTGTTCTCAATCTTTTGTTGGAACGATTTGTGAATCATCTTCCATTAATATTCGTCATTCTTGGTCTGATCGGATTTATTGGCAATGCTTTAACATTTACTCAAGTTGACCTTCGGTCGAATACATGTTGCATATATTTACTCTGTGGTTCTATCATGGACGTTACCGTTCTTGTTTTCAATACATTGCCACTCTATCTGAGTTCACACTATGGAGCATATATTCCGTGGAGGAAGATACCCAATCTGTGCAAGTTGAATATTTTTATGCTTGCATTTCTTCCTCATTTGTCAATTAATTTTTTGTTGATGTCTATTATTGATCGATACACTTGTACAAGTAAACTGGCATCACCCATGCGTCGTCTTAATAAACTTAAAATAATACCATGGTTGATCGGTATAACTATCCTCTTGAGTCTTCTCGCTTCACTTCGTGGACTCATTCTCTTCGAGTACAAAAGCGGTTTAGGATGTGTAGCCAAATATCCACTGATCAATAATATTTTGTATTTTGTTATTCAGGTTCTCATGCAACCAGTGGTAATGCTTGTGTTTGTCTTGCTGACTTTTCGGAATGTTCATCAAAGTCGTCAACGAGTAGTAAGTTCATTAATTCTCTCTGGAAAAAATAAGCATAATTTATTTTAGGGTGGAACAACAGGGACACAGGTAAATCGCTCTCGAAAACAATTCATCGCTATGATCTTCACACAAGTTATAGCAACAGCTTTCATTTCATTACCATGGGCGATTATGTATATGTATTATAATATTCCTGCTAGTGGTAGAACCTCTGAACAATTGGTTATTATTAATTTTACCTATTTGCTTACAAATTACTGTTTCTATATGAACTATGTCAAATCATTTTATTTATCAATATTAACATCACGTGTATTTCGGCAAACATTCATGAAAGCCTTGATCAAACTATTGCCTCACTATCTGCGTCCACAATGGCAAGTGTCTCAGACTAATATGTCCATGTTGATGACTGTCACAAAAATCAATCAACAAAATACAAGACGACACGCAACAGAAACAGTGCTTTAAGGACAGTTTAAAAACGTTTCATTTTTTTTGTATTGTATGAATGTTGTTCGTCTAGTAAATTGTCAGTTACAATTATCAAAGCATCTTAACATACAGTGCGTCGAAAAATAATCCGTACACTACCTATAATTTTTTATTTTCGCTTGTTTTATCTTATAGAAACTAGCTTTGGAGCTCCAATCGTTAACGTCTTGTAGCAAATCATATCTACTGACAGTTTCAGGGTGCACTGAAAAAAAAAATCCGTAGAATAAAAAACGAAAAAAGGGTTTATTGAGGTGTCATAAACCCTTTCATAAACCATAAAAAAAGGGATGAATATGGGGTTTATGAATCGCAAAAACTCACTCTAAAGGGTTGATGAAAGGGTTGATGAAGTTCATGAACCTTTAAAGGGTTTGCTATACGTTGCATTTTCATAAACCCTTTGAAGGGTCGATGAGTATGATAAACCTTCTCGTAAGACTATCAAAAGTCCGCTGAGAAAGGATTGATGAAAATACGATACCCAATGTTCGAGCTCATAAAATTTACTTGGAAGCGTTTATGAAGATCATGAATGGTCGAAAAGGTTCGTGAAAAGGTATATGAGTGGGTTGATGGACCTCTTCAATTGACCCAACGGTTTATGAGAAGATATATGCGAGGGATGATGGACCTCAATTGTAGCTATTAAGCTGTGAAGCAATATATGTAGAGTAACTCAAGAGTTGCTTTCAGAACTCGATGGATGACTGAATAGAGAGAATTCTTTTCGTCATTAATGATGGACACGGGCGATCATGAACGAGAGAATATGGGACTTATCGAAGTTTGAAAGAAATGCTTGTTTGTTATTACCTAAGCATTTGAAGATTGTAACTGATCGTGTCCTAATTAGGAAATCTGAGAAATCGAATCTACACTCATTTAGAAAGAAGTGAAGCTAGAAAAACGGAAGATGGCTATATCCATATCTCAAAATTTAACAAGTCAAAGGAAAATAAAGAACTTATATTGGATTAAACGAAATTTTCTGATTGAATTACTTGGATTAGATACGTCATACATAGAATAATTAAATCGCAAGAAAATTGAGCAACTTGGAAAAAGAACTGTAATTAGTTGCTTGGAACGAATTTATCCAAGAGCTTCCAAATCCATCTATCTCATGAAGAAATCTAGAAGAATTTCATCAGGAATTCATCGGGACTGCCTGCAGGATCTTCTGTAAGTGTAAAAGATGTTCATGACGAATTCATGAGATATTATACTTCTTTATGAGCCTAATGAAAAGTCGGGAAACCTCGTAAAATTATCGTACGGTTTTTCCGTAATGTTATAATGCTCATCTAAACTTTTATAAAATCTTGAACTCTTGGTAGTATCAAAATAGCACTCTGCACAGTCATTACTACTCGAAGACCCTGTCGCTCATCTATTTATCACTATCGTCTATGAAATTGTACAAAACCTTCACTCACTTGAAGTAATATTCTTGGTTGACCATGCTATTGAGTTCAGTGAAAGAGAATGAGCAGATTTCATTTAAAAGACCATTTTTATGCTTTGAAGATGTTATCTACCAAAATCTTAACGAAAAATCAGTAATTAATTAGGAGAGTAGTACTTTCTCATTGAAGACATTACTAACAATGCTAATGTAATACTTGCTTTTACATAAAAAAGTTATCATTAGTCCAATTTATTGAAAGCGCTGCTTGACATGAATCAATCTTCACATGAAAAAAATACAATTAAAATTTAAAAAAACTAAAGAGCACACTCATCTGTATGCATCAGAGCTTTCTTTGATAATCATAGCCACATTCATTCATTGAAGAAGTTGAAAAGCCGCATGTGAATAAAGAAAATATTAGAGTTAGTAAATAGTAATCAATATGANCCCACACCAACCCCCACACCCACACCCCCACACCCACACCCACACCCACACCCACACCCACACCCACACCCACACCCACACCCGTTATTTTTGTTTTAATGTTCAGCCTTTCTTTAAATAAAAAGTTAAATTTCAATTGGAAAAAGTGAATTTAATTTTTAATTTCTCGACATAGAATTTTATATAAAATCAAACTTCCATTTTTTTAATCAAGTTTTAAAATAGGTATTAAATTGATATCTCTATTTTATTTTTGAATAAAACATTGTATTCTGGAAAAAAGATTCTTATGAGTCTAAAGAAAAATTTTTGTTACGGCGATTATTTAGATAACATTCTAAACTAAATCACTTAATTCAATCAATGTATTCTCTGCAATACATGTGCGACCAATTGTTTTGCGACGAATTGATCGGTCACATCAATTGCGCATCTTTTGGGGGAAAATATTCAATATTATATTATTGTTCTGTACTTAGATATAATAATTTTGGTCCACTTGGTACTTCTTCTATTTCTCAATATATCTAACAAGTTCCAGAACTTTATCTTTCATATGATCAATTTTGTATTTTTTTTCAAAAGAAGTTATCAATCATTGCTTGTGCTGTAGTGGTGTGGCTTCACAATTGGCCCGTACTGCACATTTAGCCAACAAAAAAAGCTTCTCCACCGAGAGACTATGTTTTGAGAAGAAAAAGAATCACAGAAAAAAACCCACATAAATACACAGAATTGTGCATAGGCAAAATAAAAAAGTGATATCCTTTGAGTGAAATCGATAATCGCGTTTGATTGTGAAATATCATTCAATGACTAATATAGGCAAATTTCGAAGAATTTTGTACTTGCTCATGACGCTAAATAAACTATCTTTCATTCTGATTCAAATATAAAGTATTTCTTCTCGTACCTGTCGACGATGGTAGTGGCACTTGTTCTCCATGAGAATACTTGACTCGATGTTCATGATCGGTTTTACCACTGCAGCCTTGCTGATATCGACATGGAACAAGATAATCGGGCAAATCTGAATGACGGTACTGAGCGCGATGAATCGGATTTCCGCGTTCGCGACATGTTTTGTTATACTGGCATATGGGTACCGAATGTGGAATATGTTCAAGATGGGGATGATCAGGAATACTTCGACATAATTCTGAAAAGCGACAAGGATGAGAGTATTTTTCATTGTGCTCTTTGGAGTCTGAGTATTGTAATAGGCAGTTGACAGAATTGGTGCATGGCTTTCGCGATGGTGGCTCACTGCCGAAGAACTTGCCTTTTACCTGATTCCAGAGTGATTTTGATGGCGATTGTTCATTGTCTGGCACGGAATTCAGAGCAACGACGGGAGCATGTTTTGATTTTGATGGTACTGCTTTACTATCTTCTTTAAATTCTTTATCGAAAGATGGATGATATTCTGGAATAGGTTGATGGCTAATGACCAAGTTTTGCACTGGCACTATGCGAGCGCCTCCACTGATATGAATATAATCGAGTTTGTCCAAATTAAGTTCAGATTGCTGAAATGTACAGGCAATTGTCTGATGATTATAAATGCTGTTTGGTCCAGCATGTGTCAATATGACTTCTCTAGTTTTGAATGTGATAACAAGACAGTAAGTAATGTAGTCATCAGTGTTACAACCACGGTGGAACGAATTCGACATAGCTTTCATACGTTGACGATCTTGCATGATCATATCGTGATGATATGGACGATAATTACTAATGTACGAATAGGATTCATGATCGGTAACGTCAGTGTAATTGATAGGGGTGTTGGCAATATAACACGTGAGACATTGTAGCCCCGTTTGCTCGGCAGCGAGGTCGATAAATTCATTGGATACAGTCAACATCATGTCACCACCCATGGCTTTCCAGTAAATAAAGGTGGTGTCACTTTGACCGTGTTGCTTTTGATGTTGACGGTACGATTGTGAGATGGTCATGGGTATGGCAACTTGCTGTTCAAACTTGCTAGCAGGCAACGTGATAAGAGTACCTTGAGGCGAATATAAATTACTGTTAGCAAACTTCTTCATGATTTCGTCGATCACATATGCTTGATAAGGGACACGAGTCGGATCCAGTTGATTCAGAGCGTTAAGATCAACTTTGTGAGGTGTAATGATGAGATGATCACCGAAAATTCCTTTGGCTAGTTGTTGCGCAGATGGTGTCAACGAATAAAACACAGTTGTAGGCATGTAAATATGATCGATGTAGTCCAAAGGTATCAGTTGCGGTAAATGCATTTCGAACACTTGATGAGAGTCGATATTCAACCATCGCTGTTGAATTTCGTTGAGATCAACATTCATCGTCTTTTTCTTTTGGCCGGTCAATGCCATGAGTTCAATCGCAGCCGCCTCTTCGTAGCCTGACACAGAACAATGCAATTTATTCCAATTAAATTGCTGAATTCGATCTTTATCTGAGCCCGGATCTTTCAGCCATGGTCTCATTTTATATGCATTGGTACTGGCACCAAATGTGGTTGCTGCTTGAATCGAAAAGTTAGTGTCCGGATGACAGATGAGCTCACGTTTGAAAACGATAAAAACATCACCATAATAATGTCCCAAATGTGGACCCAAAATACTAAAAACATGTTTGTTAGTGCCCAGTATCTCATCGGGTCCGTGCCCAATACCCATCGGATTCGAATGAAGCCGGAGAGAGGCTTGAGTAATTGCTGTGGCATGTGCTCGAATAGTTGCAATTTCATCTGCTTTGAGAAATAATTTTAATTGTGTTTCTTTCACATTGACAATATATATCTGTTGATCATGGGTTGACGAATGACGAACAGCATTAGCCATATGTGGGGGGACAATACCATGAACTGGTGGGAATACTGCGGAACTTTTGGGAGCAACCTTGTCGAATTCGACAGCCACCAACGCTCGAATAAAATCTCGACCATGATTTTGCAAAGCTTGATTGTTGTGATGATCGAATATTCGTCGGACTTGATTATGCTGTTCGACAGCATTAGCCACAAATTGTGCTTCACGTAATAGATTCATATAATCTCGACTCATGGCATGGCCATGAACGAGAATCGATTCGAAAATGACCTTGCTGCATCGATGAATAGGCTGTAATGCACGAATCCATTCGATGAGCTTTTGCGGAATGGCAATCTTCGAGTCTTTCCATTTCTCAGCTTCGACATAGGCGCGAACTGTTTTTATCATTTTATATTGATTCCGTACAAAGTTGACATGTTTATTGAGACTAAAATAGCGCACCACACCGATATGATTGTAATTGCCAGCGTGACGGAAGCGTATCATGTGGTTGTGATTCAATCGATCGTGGCATTCAGACCCGAGATATTTACATAAGTATCGAATATCAGGCAATTTGGGATGCGAAAATGAATTGAGATGTTCTTCATCGGTTAGTTTGGAGCATTTGTCTAGGTCAGGACACATCTTTCGTGCAATGTGAATCGAAGTGCAAGCATGTAGTTCCGTCGTATTGCTGCATTGTCGTCCGAATGGACACACGTGTGAGAATTTGATACAATGTTCTTCGATCTCTCGTCTCAACGTGGCATTAGGATCTCTCTTTGCCTGCAAGAACTCGCCATAATATCGACATGAGAAAGGCGTTAAAGGGCAAGGCTGATAGAAGGGATGTGATTGATCGTTGAAGTGTTCCTGATCGTGAAAATTGACGCAATAGGCACCGAATGGGCAGCTGAGTTTGCAATGACGACAAGAACGGCAATGTTCCGTGTCACGTTTACGAAACAACAAACATTTGCTGGGACCATCTTCGCACACTGGTAAATGGCGATATTGAAACAAATGAGCTTTACTCATGTCCGTACAATCGCTATTTCGAGGACAAAACTCCGGATGGTCATATTGACGAATATGCTTTTCGTCTTTAGTAAGTGGACATTCGCCACCACGTTGACATCTGGTACGGTGAATAAAGAGGCTCCGATGCATTTCATCTTTGAGCACTTGATCACATGTGTCATGTTGAGGGCACAAGGGCGGGTGAGAGTATGATTGACAATGTTGCGTGTCGCCCAGTTCGCGACATTCGGCTCCATATTGACATGGAGACAAGCCGAAGATGCACACTTCATCTATGATCATCTTTCCACGATCCTTACCCGCAATTCTAAAGGGGCCACTGGCTATACCGACACCCAATTCACGAGTCGTTGCATCCACATGAAGTCCATGAAGTATGCGCTTGAATGGAAGATAGTTTCCATCTGGATTGTGCTGATTACCCGCATTGTGATCGTCAACAATAGCAAAATGAATTGTCTTGAAATAGCCAGCATATTGTTGGATAACTGATTTGAAAATGAAAGCCACATGAGTAGGTGGATTCTTGAATGCGCCACAGCCGAGAGCCGAGAGAACGAGACAATCATGCTGACGAGAATGAGTAATGGCGAAGAGATTTTCGATTTTCTTTCGCATGCCCATGGCATTTTTTCCTGTGAGCAAAGTTTTGTCATCCCGCTTCAATTCCGGCTGTTGATAGGCGGCCACAGCGATAGCATGTACATCGTAGACAGGCTTCTCGAGGTAGGCATATCCCGTGTCTTCCGTATTACGAAACACAGTAATGCCTGATGTGTAGATTGCACCGAATTCTTCAATCGGATACATGCTCTGATTAGCTGCCAACATTTTTTCTTCGCCATTCGCTGTGCACCAATAACGTTCGGCTTGCTTGCTATCATCGAGTTCTGCGTCAAGACTCAGACAATAGTTGGATCGTCGAAATAGATTCTCTTCTTGAGCTCCCGCTCCTTGTCGATATCCACCACCAGGCGTTGTTGCATTGGCCATGTTGAGTAGTACTGGCCGATTTCCGGCTGCTGCTAGATCTTCATAAACAAGCAAACAATCACTGTTCACCACTTTCACTGTCGTGAACGAAAATGGAGGTTTAAGAGTAGGCTCGGTCACTTGTCCGAATGCGAGTTTTGACCGATGATTGTAGGCTATGGTCTTCAACGGTTCAAATTTCAATTTGATCTCCTTTGTATTGCCACCAGTTTCCACAGTATAATTTTTCTTATGAATCACGCCCAGCGTGTTAAGCATTGTTGTAACACGTAGCAAATGCCTTTTCCGATCACTCTGTTGATTACGCATGCCTTTAACACACTCAAATTGTTCAAGCCAATATTTGGCATTCCATTTGTATTTGAAAATGGGATGTTGTGGAGTAACCACGAATTGCATGATGTCAGGTTTTTTTACGTCAAGCATTTGCATTTCATACCAGTTGTCGGCATTTATCTCGCTATTTTCTGGATCGTTGAGAATGACTGTATATGGATCGATGTGCATCGAATAGTCGGTGACACGCAATGCGCCCACAATCAAACATTGATCATATACAGATCTATCATTGAGTTCGATAATGAGTTTTTCACCTGCTTGTGTGTGTTTCGCGACAGAATTTTGAAATTGCCTGTGTTGGATGATGAGATTAATCGGAACAGAACGCGGCACCGGATGGATGACAACGCGAAAAGCGAGTCGTGTCTTTTTTGTACAAATCTGGTTGTTGAGAGAGATATAATCGATATTCATCCAACACAGGCAATTTCAAAATTCTGTCGCGAAACACACAAAAGCAGG